CCCCCCCCCCATTTATTTTATAATTATTATAAGGTATATAAACATGTACAAGGGTTTTCCCCCTGTATTATATGCAACAATGTTTGAGTATCCAGTAAAATCTAGCAAACATGTCTGACAAACACACACACACACACACACACACACACCCAACAGCCAAATGGCTGGAGCAGAAGCATATGAGCGTGAAACACTGGATAATTCCTGGAAAACACAGCGACTCCATGTTTGCTTCAACAGGACAGTCTTCAGACGGGATAATCCTCTGGCCGAGATGTTGGCCAAGAGTTTCCTCTGAACACATTTAATTAACCGGCTGAAGACGACGGCCTGAGGCTCACGAGAAACGCTGACAAATAAATGCAGTTCTTACTTAAGAGTGTCTGTCTTGTTTCTAGTTCAAATATTTTTAAAAATCTTAAATCAAGAGGCATTTTCTAGACGAGCACAAAGTGTAGTCTTATTTTCAGAAATAATGTTGAAATGAGGGTGGCACGGTGGCTTAGTGGTTTGCACTGTGGCCTCACAGCAAGGAGGTCGCTGGTTCGAGTCCCGGCTGGGTCTGTGGCCTGTGTGGAGTTTTCATGTTCTCCCCGTGTTGGTGTGGGCGAAATGATGACCTAAAATGGCTGTAGTGTGTGTGAGTAAATGAGTGTGTATGGGTGTTTCCCAGTACTGGGTTGCAGCCAGAAAGGCATCTGGTGCGTAAGACATGCTGGAATAGTTGGGGGTTCATTCCACTGTGGTGACCTCTGATTAATAAAGGGCTAAGCTGAAGGAAAATGAATGAATATTGTATATGAACAAAGATTATACACAAAATATCGTTGTGAACATTTAAAAAACAACTTATTTCTAAAACAAGGCAATATTTTTGCTTGTCTAGTAAAAGGCTTCTTGATTTAATAATATTTTAATTATTATTTATATTATCATAAACTCTAACTATAGTTTTAAACACATGAGGCTGTTCTTACTGAATAATAAAGCGTCTCCATTAATATAATATTGAATGTGCTGCAGTAAAGTTATGATTAATGATGCATTTCTACGTGGCTGGTGTGATTTTAGAAATAAATCCTCTTTTCTGTGTGAATGAAGGAGTCTGACGGCTCTCGTTCACAGGATTTACAGCTCAACCTCCTGTAGCCGATTAGCCAGCGAGCAGAGGATTCCCGAACTGAAATTATTGATTCTATTAACCTTTGTGAAATAATTCATCCGTGTCTGATTAACCTAAACCCCTCTTAATTCAATTATCAATCAGTCCGTTCACTCGCAGATCATCTCCAGCTAATTGCAGCAATCACAGATTTTAATTGCGGGTTGCTCTGAAGGGGTCGAGCTGCACTCTCTGCTTTTAGGAGCTGAAAGCCGAGGTGTGCTGAGGGAATATGAGGGGCTGTTTTTAGACACATGTACCATAGTATTTGTTTACATTCCCTGAACATGTGAATAGCTGTCGTGTGTTTGATTGATCTGTTTTATACACTACAAATATCTATTTATTCAAGGATGGATGGATGGATGGATGGATGGATGGATGGATGGATGGATGGATGGATGGATGGATGGATGGATAGAATATATTGATGGATGAATGAATGAATGAATGGATTGACAGAATATATTGATTGGAGGGAGGGATGGATGGAGGGATGGATGGATAGATGAATGGATGGACAGAATATATTGATGGATGAATGTATGGATGGATGGATGGACGGATGGAGGGAGGGAGGGATGGATGGATAGATGAATGGATGGACAGAATATATTGATGGATGGATGGATGGATGGATGGACGGA